CCCCAAAACCCCAAAACCCCAAAACCCCAAAACCCCTTTCGTTCAAGAATTTATTGAATTACAAAAAATGTCTAACTTGCGTTGTTAATTGTAAGGTTCCTAAAGACGCTTTCTCTTTCAGTCATAGGTTGTCTATCCGTACTAGAAGTTAGCAGTTTGACTTACTTATAAGCATTAGGTATCTTGAAGCTAGAATATTTCTTAATCTCTTTATTCCGAATAGAAGTTTTGATCACTGTCTTCCCAAACTTGTCAAAAATTACTTTATGATAATTCTGAGATCTCTTTGGTGACTTGTACATAAAATTTGGTGGAGCCACTGATAGCTTCTGAGGGGGTAAAGAAGCTACGCTATTTCTGTCTGATAGAGCTAATAGACATAGATTTGAGGGATCTCTTCCGACTTCCTCTCTGCATTGTCTATATGAATAATTGTATCAGAAAATAAAATGGGAGAATAATATCTACCTTCACTCGCTCCATTCTTGGACTGCAAAGATCCTCTATTGGTTGAGTAAACAATCTTTCTTTTATTTTGACTTCAGGGCTCTTCAACCTCTTCAAAGTAGTAGACTGGTCTTCAATTCATAACTGCCTATAGAAGATAGTCTTTGGATCCTTTTTGCCATCAGCTCGGTGCCTAATCGCTACTTGATTGACTGGACTCACAATCTTGAGTGACTTAAGTCTCTGATAAAATGCATGCTCTTCATTTTCTTCTAAAGTTCTAGAAATTTCATCGATATCCTCTTTTCTAGAGGCGTCTTCTCTTGAAGTATTTAAAAGGATGGTATTCTGGAGTTTTAAAGAATTCATTAAGGATTCTCCCAAAATTGAGAGATTTTTGTATACCATTGCTTTCATTTCCTTTGACACCTCAATCGTATTCAGGTTTGCTGCAATATCATTGATATGCATCTTAGCAACTTGGGCAACTGTGGAAATGCACTTTATGCTTAAAAATTTATGACTGCTCCTGAATAAATAATCACTAAGCCCAACAACATGTCCATCAGTAATAGTACTCAGTTTTATCACTTTATTTTCGAATTCTTGGTGTGCGAAGAGATTTTGTTGGGGAGATCTTCCTTCCAATTTGTGCAGTTCCTTGAACTAATCACTGGTAATCATCAAAGAACTGTTTATGTTTCCTAAGTTCTCTTGTTGATAGATAGAGGGGAGTATAATTGACAATCCCAGTGTCAAGATTTACATTCAGTTCTTTTAGAATTTCAAATTTACCTTCCTTGATGATATAAACATAAACACTTTCTTCATTTTCTTTGCATAAATATTGACCCTTCTTTACTTCTTCTTTGGAGATGCATTTAACCAGCTAGAGACTGTAAATAGAGTCCATACCTTGCTTTTAGAAGTCCTCGTGATATTTTTAAAGATTCCAAAGTTATTTAGCTCCTTGATCTCTCTTTCAAGTTTGGTGTTTTCACTATTTTTCAAATTTCTATCAAAACCTTTCTTGCTCAGAACAGCAAGTAAGGTATTCTCATTTGTCATGATTGTTGCAGCTCTGGGTTTAGAATTTAGAAGAGCTAGCTCTCCAAACTGATCGCCAGCTTTCAGGTGTTTTACGCTCGTTAAAAAATGAAGATGATAACTCTCCTTTTTCTTACTCTTTAACTTTTTATAAAGGTTAAGAACTGCAGCTCTATTTCTATTTCAAGGTTAACTTACTTAAGTTCTTTCTTTGAGACACTTTTGTAAATCTCATCTACTAGGTCTGAGTCAATCTCTGTAGCCTCTCTGAAAAGAGGATTCATACGTATTCTGTCAATTGGATATGGATATGAAAAGAACTTTGTACCATTAACAGTGAGTACCAACCCTTCATTTTCTTTAAGGAACTTTACATATTCCTTAAAAGTGAGGTCAAGTTTCTTTGTGCAGGGTATGAGGACCTTGACACTTCCTTTTATCACAAGGTAAAACTTAGTTCCGATCTCACCGTAATTAAATACAATTTTATTAGCCTCGTACTCCTCGAGCTTCATGACTTTTGCACATTTTCTCACTAAATCTTCATTTCCTTTAGCCACATATTCAGCAAAGAATGAGAATCTCTCAAGTTCTTTATTTAAGCTTGTAGATCTAGAACAGGTTTAGCCAATATCTCTCGGTGGAGGAGTAATCTCTTACCTGTTCATCTGTGCGTTCTTCCTCAGGTATTCTGAGAATTCCTACAGAAATATTAGGAATAAAATACTCAACAAGTTTTGCTCAAGTTTTATGTTGTCAATGGACACCACTTTATTGAGTATAAATTTTGAAGTTAGAGTTTTAATGTACTCAAGCCTGTACTTCTGATCGCTCATCATATCTAGAAGTTAGAAAGAGTAGTACTGTCTAGCTTAGGCAAGATAGAGTTCACTTGTTTGTTCCTAGGAGAGCCAACAACTGTTTGAAGTGCCTATACATGTCGCATGAATTTTCCAAAAACCAATTCCCAAAATACCTAAACTTCCCTAAATTTCCAAAATCTCCTCCGAAACAACCCTCAAAGTCCCCTTAATCCCCTCAAAGCCCCTTAATCCCTTCAAAACCCCATTCCACCCCCAGCACCTACCTTCATCCCTCCAGTCATCTTCTCCAAAAAACTCCTTCTCCCTAGCACAGATTCCTTCCTCAGAGTCCCACTTCCAGTAACAGACTTCAAAAATCCTAACTCAGACACCTTCTTGTTCAGTTTTTTCAGGTCTCTTTTCACATGGTGAACTTTCTGTTCCATATTTTGGGCAAGGTGTTGGCTTATAAATTATTTCTGTATTTAAAATTAAGAAAGGGGTTTTGGGGTTTTGGGGTTTTGGGG